AGCCAGGCTGCTGCAGGGTGGTCAGCGGACGTGCACTGACCAACATCCTCCCATCACATGGGAATGACCGGTCCTGCTGCCCCCACCACTCCCGGGCTGCCCCATCACCACCACTGCGCGGGCAGGACCACCAGGAACCCCCCTAATCTTCTAACCTACCGGCCCAGTGCAGGCACCCAGGTCCAAAGCAGCCCAGACCTACAGGAGCTGGCATTTACCGAAGGTGAACTGGGATACCTTCTACTGTCCCATCTTCTTCTTAATGTCGTGAAAGCAGTTGCATGTGACTGAGACTTTTAAAGTGTTGCCTTTTACTTGGGTGATCGCATTCCATCTCTTTTTAGGTTTTATAAGATATTTCTGGCCCAGAAACCTAATCTCTCAGTTTGGTTTTGCTCGGTAGTTTTGGGGCCAGGCTTGCTTCACGTGTTAATACCATACAACACGTGTTTGAAAACACAACCTGCGATATGACCCCAGGCCAGCAGAGATTTAATTCTTCCCACAGTTCACAAAATCTGGAAGAATAAGAATTACCCTACAGCTGCAGAGGATGTAGCTGGAGATAAGACTATTGTATAAACATTTACTGAGTGAACTAAGGTTATTCTTTTACCTGACTACCACTGATGATTGGCGTTGTTTGAAATTATTAACTTTCCTTTTCTTTCTCTGCCTCTGCGTGTACTTTAACAGCGATCCATAGCTGGAGTTGCGATAGGAGCACCCGCAGACCTCAGATCAGCAGGACAGCAGCGGGGTGCTGCGCCTCAGATCGGAATTTTCTGCTTTGCTGCCATTCGCGTTTGCAGTTGTCACTGCCTTCACAAACCTCGTGAAGACAAAATGCCCTGTCCCATATAAAACAGCACAGCCAGTCAGGCGCTTTCGAGCAATGGGTTAGCGATGCTTCCCTACAGGGAGGGCGGCAGGCAGCACGCACTGTGCCACATCACCGCTCAGTTTGGTAGAGGCGTGCTCCAGCATGAGTTGCATGTGAAAGAGGCAGCCTTCACCCACGTGTTGTCTGAATGTATCGATGAGTACGTCCCGCGTGTTGAGTGAACCCATGGGAAACGGCAGTCCCATTTATCCGGCATTCCCAGTCAGCTTGCCAAACTCTGGGCCGGAAGGTGTGAAGTGAGGACTGTGGCTTCTGCGATCTGCAGCAGCCTGTCTTTGGTTTAGGGTGCTTTGGAAAGGGAAAAGGGAAGGCAACCCTTGTAAAACCAGCAGGCCTGTGGTTTTGTGAGCACTTGTGGTTTGAGAGGGACTGGAGAAAAGTTCGATGTTCCTGCGTTATTTGAGGCCCTGTGAGTTTGCAGCAGTGGACGTTCCCAAGGCGCTCGGCGCTGTGCTGTTCCTCTTGCCATTCTTAGGAGCTTGTAGGATTTTTATCTGATTATTGGGGCATTTTGTCCTTAGTTGTTCTCTGTTATAAAGCGTGACCTCCACATTTTCTAGACACTGCTGCTTGAAACAGTGAGCCAGAAGCGTGTAACTTCTGTAGCTGGAGGAGGTCTATGTGTAGAGGCATTGCACACCGGCACAAGAAATGGTGACACGTGAGCAAGCCCCATGGTTTAATAACTGCCCCAGGGGGCTGAGCCCCAGGACTTTTCAGCGTGTGCTCTCTTCGCTGATGGCCAATGTGCAATAATGCGGCTTAGCTTAATTTTCTTTCACTGCAGACCAGGCTAAGTCGCATTACCTTGCATTTGCTGTGGGCTGGAAGCGCACGCATGGGCAGAAACCTCGGCTCAGCTGACTCATGGAAACTTGGTGAACTGTGGTAACTTGATGTTGAGCCCTAATCCCCAGACTAAGCTGAGATGAGAACACGGCCATGGTTGCACATCTCTCAGTACATGTGAACTGGGGGACACGGTGACAACTGGCAGGCCCCTGGGGACACGTGGCGGTGGGGAGGGAATCTCCTGCCTCGGAACGAATGCCCTCAGCTCAGCTGTCTCCTTTGTTTTAAACCCTTCTCTCTTTTTTTTTTAGCAACACTGGTGAAGATGCAACTCGATAGCAATGTAGCATGGTCAGGATAAAGGAGGCATCCTTCAAAAAAGCTTCCTTTTGAAGCCTAGCATACCAGCACCAAGTGAAGCAAGAGGAGGGGAGGGCTGGACCAGACGCTGCGCCAGCACCTCCTCTTGCTTTTCTCATGGTGCTCTCTCCGTTCCCTGGGCGCAGGAGTCGTTAGGTGTCAGGTAACTGGTGCAAGACCAGTGGAGGCCAACATGCCACCTGCACGAGGACTGGGATGCGTTCTTTGCTCTGTGTCTTACTGGGTGGGATCTCACATCGGAGTCTGAAAGTGGGGGGAAGCCGGTTTCCTTGGTACCGCGGGCAGAACTTGTGCTGAGAAGCTTGGCGAGCGTCAGGCAGCCGAGCGGCGCTCCGAGCTGCGTGCCGCGGAGTTTTCCATTGACTGCACAGGAGGCAGTTAAGATACAAAGCAGCGATATCCCAGACTCGTGGTGCGATGTGCTCGGAGATAAGGCGAGACCAGAAGTGGCACCTCCTAGCTGAGCAGCTCTGTCTGCTGCGTGTTCAAGTCAGTGGCACTGACAAAATACACTCTTAAATAACCTTCAGCATGAACACACAGCTGTAGGAGGAGAATAACTCTGCTTTTTCTTGCCTATAAGCAACAGAGCTGTTCGCCGTGCCCCAGCTAGGAGTCAAGCAAACAGCTCCCAGGAGGAGCACGAGACGTTTGCTAAGGGTGACCGGGGGCAAAACACTGCCTACGGGAGC